CTAGCCTTCTTCATTCATCACAATGAAACACTATGAGACACAGCAGAGATAGCCTTAGATATCGTGTGTGGAGCTGGTTTACCACCAAATGGTATCGCATCACACAAAAGCTAATCAATACGGACAAGTGGTGAGTAGTCAGTGAAATTCACTAGCAAATGTGTACATCAAGCACCTCTTCAAGACGGACCACTGACATCAAAATTCAGCAGTTTTCAGCTTACCTAGCGAATGGGAATCAGACCTACTCTTGTCTTCTAAGTATCGACTGTATACTGTATTCAACAATTTTAGTGAAAAATTGCTTCACAGTTATCCACCTCAGTGCCACATCTATCTTCTTTTGTGGTACATTGTGACACTCAAATCAGGATTCTGGGATCAATAAACAGCAAACCATTTTAACCATGAGAGTTACACCCCTGCTATTCACCACACAGAAATTTCCCCCTAAAGAAATGAGATGCTGGCTTTTCTCGAGGGGCTTTGTCTCAATTTAATCTATTGCTTCCTTGGCTGTTTTTTTCTTGGACAGATGTGGACGAGTGCAATGACATTCCAGGAGTGTGCAAGTCCAAACATGCAATCGGTTACAGTCAGGCTTGTGTCAATCTGGTCGGTGGATATCGCTGTGTATCAAACGAGTGTCCGCCATCATATACCAAAAGTCGGCTGGGTAATGGCTTCAGGCAAGTCAACGGTTTCTGTGTGAAGGACCCTATTCTTTGATGGTCACGTGAATTAGTAAATTAGGAAGCAAAAAATACTTACTGGAGGGCTAGCTATTCCGGGAACAAAACGAACAGACGAGCAATGGACTGAACTCAACAAGTGACAATAAGTTTAGTATTTATACTACTGATATAAATGGGATAGACATTGGGCATGATGGCGACAAACAAAAAACAAGTAGGGGATCAAATTATTGATAAGCATCCAATACCCAAGTGCCGGAATGTTTACCTAGGTGGAATCTGATTTCAACAGTCGAAGCCATAACAGAAGGTTATCAAACAATTTACTTCCGGTCAGCGTGCTCGAAAAACAGCAATTGTGCATACCAACCAAACTTGATCATCAGTAGTAGTGTGAACACAGGGTTATCTGAAGTTACGTGTAAAGTGTAGATCAGCTCAGTGGGACATGTGTATCGAGATGAGAAGTTATAAACTTTGCAAGAAGACCACAAGCGAACACATCGTCTTTAACTATCGATTTAAACACTATATCCATGGGACTTGGATAAGGTATCATTTATTTCCTCCTACTGGTTCGTCTGCTCTGTTTTGTTTTTGTTTTCTCATGCCGATGCTTTTAGCCTTTATGCCACACGTACCCGGCCCCGCTCCAACCGCCTACTCACAGAGTGCGAGCAAGGGAAACATGTTGAATTAGATTAAACATCATCCCATGATTGTGATATTCACAAATGGTACAAAGGTGTGATGATTCTAGATATATCCCTTAACCTGATCTGCCTCAGTTACCGACATTCGTGTTTATCCAAACCTGTGTTTCCTTTAACTTTTTCTTAGTCATGCAGCATGAAATCAACCAATCGCATCAATGTTTCTTCTGTGTAACTCTCTCCGTTTCTAAATGGAATCTCACGCTGTTCCACGTTTGAATCATTTCATTCCCGAGAATTGGCTTACTCTTGATTAAGAAGTGGAAGACACTTATTTATTGAAAAATATCATTCAATCTTGCCGAACTATTCTCGAAACACGGAGTTCGTTTATCTCTAATGCTTATCCGATTCGTGTATTGCCGCTATTGGTCTTTTTGTTTCGTTTTCCAATCAGACAGCGCTCCACGCGGACGGTATTATCTGTGGGATAAATTGAGGTTGGTTAACACTGCACCAATCTTTCTGATACTGTGTTTCGTGCTGCCCCCCCCCCCCTAAGTGGGGTGTATGAGTGTTTGTGTGTGTATGTGTGTGTGTGTGTGTGTGTGACCTCAACCGATCACACGTGTGAACGCGCACAGCCTCGAACACCTATTCCTTGTATCATGACATTGAGCCAGGAACTGTATCCGTAGTTGTTTTTATGTGCGTTTTTTTGCGTACCTCCATTTGACACTCATAACAGACAGCAGATACTGTAACCAGTATCTCCACCAATGTTAGCCTCATCCATGTCATGGAGAAAAGGAACAGGTAGGCAGCACATTGCACACCCGCAAAAGATGCATTGATCTATGAGCTGATTGATCGACTTATATAGGTGTTAGGTGCAGTGACCGGGAAAAAACCATATCGCCTCCAAACGGCCGGCTATTTTGTTCGAAAGTGTATTGTTAGTTTTTTTCGCTTGCAAGCACGTACGTGAGTGCATACGTGTCTTTGTGTGCTCGCGAGTCCATCTGACGGCCTCTTGTAAGGTGTTTTCGCATCTGTCAGGGTCTGATTACAGTTTATGGAACTTTTAGAATTTATATTTCACAGTATAAGTGTTCGTGTTTTTTCTTTACATCGATGATCTAACAGTATTGAACCAGTTGATGCAAATCAAAAGCTTTTCCTACTCATAGGCAAGGGCATAAATTAACGAAGAGCCAAATTAATAACAAATATGATGCTCAACCGTCCATCACAATAACTGTACTAACCATGGGATATGTCTGGAATATGGTCATTCGGAATTCGATAAATTGACACAAAACGCTGAACAAACAAACCGCTCCGAATTACGTACACGTAGATCACGTGGTGCATTGGAAACCGCGAGTTGTCAGTAATCTATGCAAATAAATAGGTATAAATTGATCCCAAACGATTTAAATCAGAATTTGTATCTTTGTTATAATGATTAACGCCCCTTAACTAACCCCCTTACAACAACTAATCAGGTTCAAAATGTTCTACCAGACGGGTTACAACTCGGAAAGCTAGTGAGGAGATAGGTTGCCCCTTGTCGTGCATAGAAAAAGTGAAACAGCCTGATCAGCTGCCCCGTGGTCAGGTGTGTAGTTTACCTGAGTTCAGCTTTTCCATTCGCTAAACCCGTGTACCCCAGTGCAGGGATTCCGTTCTTTGTCTCATTCATTTCTATCCCTTCTGTCCATTACCATCCATCTCAATAGGTAATCAAATGGTGAATTCTGAAAGGTATCTTGAAACAGTATTTCTTTTATAACCTTTGACCTGTCAACTTGTGCTGTCATTACAAAACGCTTTTAATAAATCATGTGATTTCTTAGGACAAATCCTGCATTGATGATGGTGATGACGATGATGATTAGAATATTATCTGGGCTAATCAAGCCTTTCAATAACAGATACAGCATAAGCGAAATACCACAAACATATTGCACATAAGAAGTGTAAGACCACTGTGTGATGAACTTTTTATCTGGCGCACACTTGTTCTGTCAACCAGTTTGTCTCTTTGTTTCTCGTTATCTATTTATCTATCTATCTATCTATCTATCTATCTATCTATCTATCTATCTATCTATCTATCTATCTATCTATCTATCTGTACAGGTGTGAACTGGATGCGGCTCACGCCTGTGTCCCTGGTGATGCAGCTTGTTTGGCAGAACGACCGCAAATGATGGACAATTTGTTCATTGAACTGGATCAGGATACCGGTGTGCCTCAGATACTCACGCGAGTGGACACGCGTCACTTGCCGTCCGGGGTAATACGTGTGGACCTGAGGCAGCACTACGCAAATCACTTACGAACCCGAAATCCGGTTCGAGTTGATCAAGCTTTCCGAGTAAGCAGTTTAACCCATCTCACCTAGCGAGTAACCGCCGCATATATGGCTGCCGAAACCATGTTTTATCATCCAGTCCTGACAAAACTGTTCTTGTTAAATATTCGGTCTACACAAAATACCACAAAATACCACTTTGAGCAATTTTCGTTAGGGTCTTGATGAAACAATTCGATAATGACCACTTCCTGAGTCACTATCACCAAGAATAACAACAATAACGGCAAAACATGCAGATAAACAAGAGTGAATAGGTAAAGTAAGTAAGTAAACTTGTGAATTCAAAACAATACTCCTCTCACATTTGCTAGTTTTACTCACAGGAAAATCGTATGTCATACAGAAACAGTGAAACTGTGCGAGATGTGCCGAACGGTTTGATGATACGGGCACATCGTTTAAACCTTCTCCAATCAACATGTGGTGCAGTATGTAACCACTACACCTCAATTTCTTAACCAAACTTTGCAACATTAACAATTATAGAAATTGAATATTTTCAGTTTACGTTGACCTCAGAATATTCGGATAATTTTTGATCTGACTCGCCTACATCGGTATGACTAAAGTTTGTACCTCGAGACTGAAGGACTACTGGTCGTGGCTGAAGCATTACGGGTTTTGGCTAAAGGACTGTGGACCAAGGCTAAAAGATAGTGGGTGTAGGCTAAAACGTTGCAGGTTTTCGCTAAAGCTTGAAGAGAAAAGGTGTAGCATAATTTCGCGGCTCATTTACACAAATGCAAAATTCATGAAACAGGGCAATCCCGTCTTCACACCACGCTGCAGTTCCATAAAGAGTAGAAGGGATGAGTACCACGGTCACATGGATCTACTGATTTGCTATGGAAACCATAAACTAGGAGTGGGGACTGTATGATTGAATATTCAGATCATAGGTCAGATTTGTATTGCACTAAACGACAACAACCAAAGGGGGAGAGTGGGGGTAACAAAGTTCAAGTTCTGTAGTAGTCACGTGTACATTAGCAAAAACGATTTATACACCTTGATTATCGTCAGCATCAGACTACACGACACAAAGCCCTATCAAACGGACCCACACGATAAAACATGTCTGGAAATCACAAGGTTGTAGTACACAATCCACATAACGCGCCTCCCCTACAACATGCCAAGGCGATACTGTTAATTTGCGAATCGTAAAGAAATGATTTTTGATAGGCTCAGTTTATATGAATGTATTCAATAAACGATATATGCGGAACGACGCCTCAGATAAACGATTAGTTAATGCCCTTATCGAAATTCCTGGAATTGTATCCCTTCGATTTATGCGAGTTATTGCAAAACACAACCTATCCTAGCAAGTCCAGTAAAAAATATGCGGTGCCAAATTACAAGTAAGTACGGTGAATTACAAGTAACTGGTGAACAGCGATAACACAAGACACATGATCCTTGTGAGCACGTGACCAGTTAATCGTGCTGTATTTTCATTATTCCGTGCCGTTCGAAAGTGCGTCGCACACTGCCAGAACATTTTCATTCACGCATTGATCAGATTTTCAGTTCGGTCTTCAAAGAACATTTTCTCTGTTCTTGGTATTGAAGCGCACAAAAAGATCTGACAAATCGATTACACTTTTGGGGATCATTAAAGAATGTATTATAATCTCGAAAAGAATTGCACCGTTATTTTTGTTAAAAAAGAGAGTTTTTTCCGGATGGTTTATTCTGGAAAAACTTTCGGAAAAGATGAACGGATTAGCTCAAAAGTGTATTACCTTAACAGCCATCTCATTCAAATGTCAAAAGTGAATTTAAATGATTTATGTATAACTTACATCATGACTAGCAGTGGGCTGAAATTAACAGGCGGTTGTCGTCCACTGCTAGCCGAAAATAACGAAATGCCATACATATCTGTTGCATTTATGGGAGTTCCTCCGTTTAGTATTGGTATTTCACGAAAGTAAATTCGTCTTTCACAGTCTATGTGTCCGTGAAAACTTCATAAACAGATGAAACATAACAAACCGAGACACCAAATTATTCAGTAACACGCAATTTCAAAAGTCAGACACGCAGTCGATTTGGATATTCCACTCCGGCCGAACTTCAACGACTTGCAGACTGTGGCAATTTATTAATTCTCATGAACCAACTTAGTCCAGCCAAGAGATAAATGAAATCGATAATGTTTCCAATTTTTTAAATGATCCCTGTCCGAACGATTCCTGTCGGCTAATAATGTCACAGGTATACCAAACTCATGACTACTCTATCATCAAAGTATATGAAAGCCCCTAAGCCGTTTAACAAAACACTTCTCTAGACCCCGGCCAGGATTATTTTCGGTTTTCATGATCACAAGCTGAGAAAAGTACACTCATTTTCCGCGGTTTGCTAATCTGGCAACAACAACAACAACAACAACAACAACAATAGTATTTCTAAGTTCACAGACACTTACCTCACCTGTTTTGTAGACAGTGTTCGTTCCTTGAAACAGACAATTGCAACGTGGGCCCTCACACGATGTCGCCTGTGTGGGTATCATAATCGATCAATATGAGCTAAACCTCAAGGCAACACAAAATGGTGAGAAAACAAATCAGCAAACAACGGGGGGTTGAGATTACTTTTTGGAGAAAATGTGTTTCTCTAGCTTTATAACCAGTTAACAGGCAGATAGGTTTACATTCTGTCTGATCTGTGCACCCAGCCTCAGTTCAAAAAGCAGTACAGCATAGAAATGGGTAATTCGGTGGAGCTGAACGCGTAAGGTCACAGTAGGGATACCATCAAAGATGTGTGAACTTTCAGTACACAACGTGAGTGTGTAATTGATTTCATTGAGACAAGTCAAAAGAATGAACACCGAAATGTAATCGATCAAAAACGCAACTATGTGACAAACGCGAACATAAATGGGCCTTATAGTGAATGCACGCCAGCTGGTTCATGCTTATCCTCGTCGTAGTCGTCGTCGTCGTCACGATCACTGTTATCGTCACCGTCGTTGTCAGGTGTGCAATATCGTACACCATTCGTCGAGTTTGTCCGCATATCATTCAGATTGTCATGTGATTTTTTTCTTTATCCAAAACAAATTTATTGACGGCAAACAAACACTGATTTTTTAATTACCGTTAGGTTCAAAAATTTGGACTCCGATCTCCGATTTTTCGATCGGAATAAAAAAAATGAAGTGACTTTTTTAAATTCCACTTCCGTATTGTTTGTTTATGTCTCATGCTTGAACTCACTCAAAAATCCATTACGGATTATTTTCATCATCGTTTTTAAATATTTTTAAGCTTTAAAATACCGCTAACTAACCCTGTTTTATTCATCACACATTTTCATTTGGAACGCTATCAGAGGTAACCTTCTGGTGCATAACGCACTGACCAGTTGCTGTCATTGTAATTGTAATTATTATTATTACTGTTATCATTGTTTATCCAACATTTATTTAGTCTGTGCAAAATCACACATTCACAACCGTTATTCTGA